GCCATTCGTGTAAGTCATCTGGCTTAGGACAGATAAACCGAATTATACACCGAGTGAGAGAGTCTTCACATTCGATGGGCCCCACTGCACATGGTGCAGACCTAGAGCACTGTATTGATTTTTGAAACATTTTTATTTTTGGTTGTTGTTTCATGGCCTGTTAGTTTATTTTTAAATTTAGACAAATTTTAACCAACAGTCTCATAAAGGGCCGTGTATTTTAACGGGCTCCCAATGACATTCTATGCAAGTTTGCTTTGTGACATTTACACCTGGTCTAAAAGTCTTGTCCCCCTCAAACACTTATTATTTGGTTATGGTGAAAGTCTTCAAACCTTTTCTCCTGGAGTTTGAAAGGTGCAACCTGCTGTTATTATGGTCACCTAGTCTGCAATACTCCTACTTCGCCCACCACTGAGCTAGGTGGTCATATCTTTTTTTGTTGTTGTTGTTTTTAAGAGACAGGGTTTCTCTGTATTGTTTTGGAGGCTATTGGTCCAGCCTGGCCTCGAACTCACAAGAGATCCGCCTGCCTCTGCCTCCCGAGTGCTGGGATTAAAGGCGTGCCCCACCACCGCCTGGCTAGGTGGTCATATCTTAACCAACCAAGAAACAGTGAGACATGAATTCAGGGATCATCCCACCTTCTCCTTTTGCCCTTTTATTTGGTGGGTGTGAGACTCTGGCTAGTGGGATTATGCAGCCTGCATTCTGGGCAAGCCTTCCCACTGCAGTTGAATGTCCTTGGGAAGAAAGATTCTCCCAGGTGATTCTACATTCCAATCGAGTTGACAGCAAAGATGGAACATCTTCCCTACTGTCCCCAGCCTCTGTTGAGCAACATTCTACTTTCAATGCCTAGGTATGGACAACAGTTTTAGCATCTAGATTGCTGTTGGGAGGTAAGTACCATCTTTGAAGGGAGGAAGGAAGACAGGAAGGCAGGAAGGCAGGAAGAGGAAGTGAAGCAGCCTATATGTTGATTGGTATGGAAGAAAACACCTTAGGCGGGGCAGGCTGGTGCAAACACCATGTGAATATTTAATCATAGGATCTCTAGGAAAACAGTGCTGGTACAACCATATATTTTCTCTGGCAGGGATGAGATCAGAGCTATAGAATCCGAGGGAGAAATTTACATGTTTTTATGCTCTCTTCCTTGTGCACAGTAAGCCTGTGGTTCCAATTACCAGTAACTCTGCGGTGTCATAGTTTGCACACAGAAATGGTCTCTGTTTTGAATTCAATATCAGTAAACACATGTAGTGCAAAGACTGAAGAGACTGAATCTGCCGGGTCCTGCGGCAGGTGCAGCTCTGGGTTCAAATGTTTTGTCGGAGGGAGTCTAGCTCACATTGTATACTTGCCTGAATAGCAGATTGATTTCAGGTGGGGGCGTGCTCATCTCAGAAGGATTTTCAGACCCTCAGTCAAGGTAAACATCTAAGCATCGGTACTTCAAGTGTGCGCTTTATATAACAACAACGAAAACGACAGATGTCCAAACCACTTAATCATGTGCTCAGCAAAGGAAGGGCAGATGGGGATATTTAAGCAGGCAATGTTAAAGACCCACCTCCCCATGCTCAATCTTCCAGAGGCAGCATTGCTCTATAGTTTACTGTAATTTGTTCCTTTTTAAACTTAAGACTCTTAAGTATATTTAGTCACTCCTTGATTTTGGGTCTTGAAGTAACCAGAATGAAAAGGAGTCATACTTAGCTTTCCTGTTTGTATACTTTCTTCCTCCAAGGAAGCAGGCTTGGGGTAATGGGTGGTTTTTCACTTAAGAAACACAGTGTGGATCTTTACTGCTTTTCACTGAAGTCTGCAACTGAACTGGCCATTCTCTAGGTTTCTGTAGATTAGAGTTTCCTTAATTAACAATTTGGTGTACGTGTGTGTGTGTGTGTGTGTGTGTGTGTGTGTGTGTGTGTGTGTTCATCTCATGTACCTCCACAAGCATGTGGGGATGCCTGTATGAGCATATGTGTAGAGGTCATAGGTCAAGCTCCAGTGTCATTCGTTAGGAGGTGTCCACATTTTCCTGATTTGAGATGGGATTTCTTGCTGGCCTAGAGTTCACCAAATAGGCTAGACTGCCAGTTTAGGGAATTCCAGAGATCCATTCAACACTACCTTCCCAGCACTGAGATTGCAATCATGTGCCACTATGCCTGGCAGTTCTGTGTGGGTTCTGGAGATTGAAACTAGATCCCCATGAATGGGCAGCAAATACTCCAGGCAGCCACGTACTTACTTATCCTCAGCCCCTTTCAGTAGTCCCTGCTTTGACCACAGCCTACTCTTGAGAAGGCTTCTTGGACCAAGGCTGCCAGAAGAGCTAATCTGTAGTAATAGGCATAAATGCTTAGAAGGCAGTTTACCTGCATGCCTGTTGGGTTAAACATCAGTAGTAGGTTCCCCAATAGAGCCTATGGCTTTTATATGCTTAGGCTTTGGTCATTTTCATCTAAGACCTCAGATACACTCTGACAGGAGAAAGTGTTTCAAATCACAAAATACCTTGAAAAAAGGAATCAACTCCCACGCCAACACACAAGGGTGTTTATTTTTCCCTTTTACAGAAAAGCATTCATTATGCGTAAGTCTGTTCATTTTTCAAAGTTAGTATTCGTGACACGGTCATTATTGAATTTTTAAGTATGCGTGAATTTTGCAGATAACGGACTCTGCTTTATGGATTTTGAATGGGGTTATAATTCTGAGATTGTGATTTTGGGTCATTTCCCTTTTATTTCTTCCAATAAAGGAGGCTTTTAAGTCTATGGGGAGCTATCGCTTTGACTAATCTGCAAGGGCAGTTCTGGGCTTTTTACTCCAATAAAAGCCTTAAAAACAAGGGCCCAACTGAGAGTGATGGAGTCTCCACAAAGGAGAGAGGCATGTCCTGATCTTTGTAAAGACTCTGCATCTTGTCTGCTCTGAATTTTCTCTATATTGAGCTCATTGTTTGCCATTAATCTGTCTCATTGTCTGTCAATTATATTCAGAGTTGAGGATGTGAAAACAAAATAGAAAGGGCTTCTGAATATGTAGGAAACACAGGCAGAATGTGACCATGCTTACTTGTTTTAGCTATCCTGTTGTGCTTGGTAGGATCAAGCCTAAGTTTGATCCAAGTTACTGTACAATGTGCAAAACAGACTTCTAAGACACCGAGTGACTCCATCTGGCAGAACACAGTTTGCTCCATTCTGACTGGAATGGCTCAGGCTGCAATTATGCCACAACCTGTTTGTGCCAGAGAGCAGCCAGCAGCTGCCCAGCATGGACTGTGATATACAGACTGATGAACACCTTCTCCATAAAAGTTAGATGCTACCACTGAGTAACTTAGTTGCAGTGAATCAGCAACACATGGACTTACAACAAAGATCCTTGTCATCAAACAGTTCAAATTCCCTCACCTATACCATATAAAATCACGTATGTCCTAAGGTTAAGGCTCATTAGCTCTGGCCACCCATCAATATGCCTTCTGGTGCACAAACCTCAGGAGCCGTAGGTGACAACTGGCTGTCTCCAGGACTTTGGCTCAGCAGAGCCTCTGTCACTTTAGGAGATTAATTAGGATAGCACTCATCGCCAGTCATCAGATCCAGTGAGCTTGTGCCTTGACTTAGGCTTGAGCCATCTCTGCCTCATCCTGGCACCCAGTATCTCTAGGATCTTTGTGAGGAGGTCGATGCTATGCTGTCTGCACACCTGCAGGGCCTCTTCTTGCATTGGCTCCGCCTACAGTTCTTTTAGTACTTCTAGTCATTCGGCGACTAATAAACCGCTGTGTAGAGTGATCAAGAAATGACATCAGGGAGGAATGGGATCAAAGAAGCTGTGACTGCCTGAGGTTGCACCACCGGCTGAAGTCAGAAAGACTTCTCTAGCTACAGCCAGGGAACCTGTGATTTGGTATCATTCCGTGGTGATCTCTGACATCGGCAGAAGGCCCCTTCATGTGTCTCGCAGTGTGCTCAGGAAACTTGTGACTGAGGAGTGCTTAAATGGCTATCTTCCATTAGTGGCACTGTTGTGTACACTGCGAAGACCCCTGATGCTATCTGGAGAGCTGGAGACATGTCTTAAGGGGGCAGGATGGATTTACTCTCTGCGGTCAGCCAAGTGGACTCGCCTGCTCATTTTCAAAGTCTGAGAAGAGATGTGAAATTCAGAGAGTAGAAACAGTCCCATGTCCTATTCTTGAGGTAACGATGAACCAATGTTCACTCTGTCCTGCAGGGGGCCGTGAAATTATTATGAATCATGTATTTATTTATATATTTGGATGCACACAGGTGAACATGGCGGCCAGAGGTCAAGTTTGGGTGTCATTCCTTAGTTGTTTTCCATCCTGTTTTGGGGGACAGTGTCTCTTGTTGGAGCCTGTATCTCATCCATCAGGTGAGACTGGCTGGCTTGTGAACCTTTGTGCACACAACTATATACAAATATATACATAAACATGGGATTCATAGTCTCTGAAACCCTCTGCTTCTTAGGGACTAAGATTACAAGTGCACACTTGGCTTTTTACGTGGGTTCTAGGGATCAAACTCAGGCCCTAAATATTGCACAGCAAAGACTTTGCAGGCAGAGCTGTCTCCACAGCCTCTGGGTTTTATTTATATGGCTTTAAGTACTTTCAGCCCAAACTCTGCTCATACAGATCAGTGCTAGAGAGCCAGGTTTAGTAGGCATAGGAGGCATTATGTTCCAAATTCTTGGCACATGAGCTCTTTTCTTTTGCTCCTGGGTTTGAATAAGTTATACCTAAGTAAGCTATTTGCCATTAATATCTTTGAAGTAATTAGGTCAGTGCATATCAAAATTCTGTAGTTAACTGAGAAAGATATACTGTAAATGTGGGGTGGTACTATCCCCTAGGCTGGAGCCCTGTACTGTGTTAAAAAAAAGTGGCTAAGAAGAGACCCTTCCCCTCTTTTTCTCTCCCCCTCTCCTTCTCTGTTTCCTGACTGCAGATGTATGTAACATGGCCACATGCCCCTGAAGCCATGGCTTAACTGCCATGATGGACTGGAACTTCAAATTGTGAGTCAAAATAAATGCTTCCTTAATTAAGTGGCCTCTGTCAAGATTTTATCACAACATTATAAAAAGTAACTCAAACAGCACCAATCTAGAAATGGCTTGTTTGATACGAAAGTTGCTAGCAAATGGCTTCTAGAACCAAGCACCACAGTTCATGGTGTCCTGGGTCAAACATAAAGTAACTTTTGGTGAGGAGTGGTGGCAGCTCTCCGAAGGTAACTGACTGATGGGTCCTTGTTCCCACAAACCAGAGCCAATGTGTGAAAAAGCGGCAGCGAGGCTTTGGAGGGAAAGAAGAAATTTAATAGAAGGAATGGGAGGAAAAACATAAGGAAAATTTCCAGAGAACTGAATAAAAACAAGAAGAGGTCGATGATGGAAAAACTGAGAAAATTAGAGGTTAAACCTAAGGAGATATTGTTGGAGTAAGTGACAGGGTTTACTTCCACACAGAGAGGAGGGAAGGCCTGTGAAATCATTCAACACATTCTCAGAGACTCAAGCCAACACTCTTGGAAACTCAAGAAAGTCCCATGCTGAATCAGATTATCAGAACGTGTCTCACACTGACACAAGAATGCTAAACATTCCCCCAAGAAGAGGGAAAAGCTGCTTAAACACCCCCCTGGATTCAGAACACCATTAGAATTTATACCAGCAATAACAACTACAGGAAAACGATTGTGCTAGATTTATGTTCAACACCCAGAAAGAACATCTGTCAGATATGTGGGCAGCATAAAGTCATCTCCAGGTTTGGAAGGTGTTAAAGATTTACACTGTGGCATAAACTCTACAAGAGAAGCATGTGGGCAGAGAAACACAAGACTGCAGTTCCTAGAATGTCAGCACCCAACTGGTTAATTGCAATCTCTAGAACAAGGGTGAAGAGGGATCCCCCTTCCCCCAATACATGAGCAGAGGGGTGTTTCTCTTTAACATTCTCAGGAGGATGTGTTGTGTCTGGAAGACTGGGGGAGGAGTAGGAAAGAAGGCTGACACTGTGAAGTACCTTAGAGATAAAGGAGTCTGAGGAAAAAAAATAAACAGATTATATGGGTGAGAGTTCACCCTAAGCCCATTTACAGGGATAGCTGCATCTCCTCCTCTGTTTCTCTCACTTACCATTGAGCAAAAACTATGAAAGTATTTTAAAAGAGGACCAGGGTGATGTTGACACTGTTCCCATCACTGTTGGAAGTATTTTTCAATGTGGACATCTTTCATATGCAAAATTTGGTTATAATTTTTTTCTTTTGCAAAAGCTTGCAATACTGCCCCACATCACTTCAACTCTTTTACAATCTGTGTTGTATATACTTTTCTAGGCTGTGTCACTTTCTGGTTTATTTACAAAAAGAGCTGGGTGAAAGAAGGGTTTATTGTTTAAGGGTAAGAGACCACCATCCATTATAACGGTGAAGATAAAATGCCAGGCATGAGATGCAGTTGATCATGTTGCACCCACAATCAGGAAGCAAAGAGAGATGAATGTTGTTGTTATTCTCAGTCCACTCTTCAGCCCAGGACCACAGACCATGAAGTAGTGCTACGTACATCGAGGGTGGTCCTTCCCACATCAATAAAATACTGCCAAAGGTTTGTTTCCATGGCAATTCTAACACCCACCAAATTGACAGTCAGGTCCAGTTGACAACTGATGGACTATTGTAAAGTGAATAAAATCTAAAGCCCTTGGTGTAATCAATTACTTAAGCCACTGATGGATTCATAGGAAGATGCAGTTGTTTGGAGGGGTTAGGAAACTAGGTGATGCATTCTGGTTGGAGGAACTTAGTTGATAGAAACATACACTGACCAGGTACCATTCCTGGTATTTTCTCTCTGCTTCTAGGAGCAGCAGTTCTGCTCCCCCAAGCCCTGTAGGTCCTTATGTTCTGTTTTACCGCAGGCTCAGAAATTGGGACCTCGAATCCAGCCTTTCCTTCTTTTAAAAGGGAAGTCTGACCACTGCACCTTGACTTTTATTTTAGATGTTTGAGTATCTGTTAATATGTCTCATTCAGTAAACACTTGAAGATCTAAGAATTCATCAAAGTGTTGGGACTATCCTCATCTTCACTGGTTCTCTTCCTTTATTAGTTTGCTAAGAAGGCTAACCTTCGTATGCTTATGTCGGACTTGAGCTTTGGAATCTTTCTGCTTTGCCTCCCTCAAACTCTTTACTTTCCTGCATCCTGTAGGCTGTCAGCTCAGGCCAGTGACCAGGGAGCAATTACAGTTTCATCTTCCTTCTTTTGCTGTAATCTTTAAGCATCAGGAAGACAGACTACACAAGTAAAGTCTCAGTCTCCTGACATATCAGCATCTCACTGCCTCCCCTGGACATGATCACCCTCTTCCCTTTTGATGCTACAGCTTCCTCTCTGTCTCTTTATTTCCCCTCCCATCTCCTCAGCATCTTTTCCCTTGACTATTGTATTTCTCCTAAATCCCACCATGCACTTGAGCTCTTCACCAAGGTGTCCTCTACAGTTATGCAGTTCACCATTGACCTCTCATCCTCAATGTTGTGTGGAATGACACTCTTATTTACTTTACTTCTCCCTGGGACAAGGTATCTCATGGAAGAAACTTTAGGATTTATTTAGGTTCACAGCAAGGAAAGCGTGGCTACTAGGGCTGTAGCACTGTTGGTGGGAACTTGTAGCCAGTCACAGCAGGCATAAAAAGAAGTAAAAACAGAGTCCTGGGTTGGAACCCAAGGACAGGCTACAGCCCATAAACCAGCTCACAGTGACCCTTTTACCCCATCTAGGCTTTTACCTCTCAAACGTTTAGCAATCTCCTAAAGCCATCAGCAGCTGGGGACTGATTTCAAATGCAGGAGCCTATGGGAAGCATTTCTCAGTCAAACTGCAATGATGCCCAGGAGAAACACCAGTGCCCCAGCCCCTGCTATAGGGGAAAGGTCATTTGGGAAAGTGATCTTTGTTAACATAGACATATATGAGTTAAAGATATTGAGATGAGCTCATAATGTCTATCTGGTTCTAAACAAGTCTCCTTATGAGTGACAGGAGAGAAATACCATAGATAGAGTATAGATAAAGATTAGGATGGGTGTCTTAGTCCCTTTTCTACTGCTGTAATAAAACACAATGAAATTGGGCTTACTACTTGAGAGAGTTGGAGTCCATGATGGCAGAACAAAGTCATAGCAGCAAAAACAGCTGAGAACTCACACCTCAAACAACAAACACAACACGGAAAATGAAGGGAATGAAACGGCATGAAGCTTTTGAACCGTCAAAGCCCATCCCAAATGACACATCTCCTCCAACAAGGCCACACCTCCTAATCTTTCTCAAACAGTTCTACAATATACAGCCCAGATATTCATCCCCCCTTCCCTATCCAATCCCCTTTCTGCTCCCCAGGGAGGGCGAGGTCTTCCATGGGGGATCTTCAAAGTCTGTCATATCATATGGAGCAGGGCCTAGACTCTACCCCATGTGTCTAGGCTGAGAGAGTATCCCTCTATGTGGAGTGGACTTTCAAAGTCCATTCATGTGCTAGGGATAAATATTGATCCATTACCAGAGGTGCCATAGATTAAACAGACCTCCAAACTGACATCCTCATTCAGGGGGGTCTAGAACAGTCCTATGCTGGTTTCTCAGCTATCAGTCTGGAGTCCATGTGCTCCCCCTTGTTCAGGTCATCTGTTTCTGTGGGTTTCTCCAATCTTATTTTGACCCCTTTGCTCATCATTTCACCCTCTCTGAAACTGGATTCCTGAGTTCAGTTCAGTGTTTATCTGTGGATCTCTGCTTCTGCTTCCATCAGCTACTGGATGAAGGCTCTAGGATGGCATATAAGGTAGTCATCAATCTCATTATTGGAGAAGGGCATTTAAGGTAGCCTCATGATTATTGCTTAGATTGTTAGTTGGGATCAATCTTGTAGATCTCTGGACATTTCCCTAATGTCAGATTTCTCTTTAAACCTATAATGGCTCCCTCTATGGTATCTCTTTTCTTGCTCTCCTTTATTCTTCCCCTGACTTGATATTCCTCCTCTTGTGTCCTTCTCTCCCCTCCTCTTCTCCTCTTCTCGGTCTCCTAACTCCCTTTCCTCTCCCTCATGCTCCCAATTAGCTCAGGAGATCTTGTCCCTTTCCCCTTTCCCGGGGGATCATGTATGTCTCTCTTAGGGTCCTCCTTGTTTCCTAGCTTCTCTGGCGGTGTGGATTTTAGGCTGGTAATTCTTTGCTCAATGTCTAAAATTCATGTATGAGTGAGTACACAACATGTTTGTCTTTTTGTGACTGGGTTACCTCACTCAGGATGGTTTCTTCTAGTGCCATCCATTTGCCTGTGAATTTCAAGATTCCATTGTTTTTTCCGCTGAGTAGTACTCCATTGTGTAAATGTACCACATTTTCTCCATTCATTCTTCAGATGAGGGGCATCTAGGTTGCTTCAGGTTCTGTCTATTACAAATAATGCTGCTATGAACATGGTTGAACAAATGTCCTTGTTGTATGAATGTGCATCTTTTGGGTATATGTCTAAGAGTGGAATTACTGGAAATTGTGGTAGACTGATTCCCATTTTCTTGAGGAACCACCATACTGATTTCCAAAGTGGTTGTACTATCCCATCAGTAGTAAAGGAGTGTTCCTCATTCTCCATATCCTCTCCAGCATAAACTGTCAATGGTGTTTTTTATTTTAGCCACTCTGACAGGAGTAAGATGGTATCTCAGAGTTGTTTTGATTTGCATTTCCCTGATGGCTAAGGATGTTGACACTTTCTTATGTGTCTTTCAGCCATTTTAAATTCCTCTATTGAGAATTCTCTATTAGTTCTGTGCCCCACTTTTTAATTGGATTATTTGGTGTTTTGGTGACTAGCTTCTTGATTCTTTGTAAATTTTGGAAATCAGCCCTCTGTCAGATATGGGTTGGTGAATATCTTTTCCCCTTCTGTGGGCTGCCTTTTTGTCTTGCTGACTGTGTCCTTTGCCTTACAGAAGCTTCTCAGTTTTAGGAGGTCCCATTTATTAATTGTTGATCTCAGTGTCTGTGCTACTGGTGTTATGTTCAGGAAGCAGTCTCCTGTACCAATTTGTTCCAGGGTACCTCTCACTTTCTCTCTAAGAGGTTCAGTGTGGCTGGATTTATGTTGAGGTCTTTCATCCATTTGGACTTAAGTTTGTGCATGGTGATAAACATGGATCTATCTGCAGTCTTCTACATGCCAGCATCCAGTTGTGTCAGCACCATTTGTTGAAGACGCTTTCTTTTTTCTAATGTACAATTTTAGCTTCTTTGTCAAAAATCAAGTGTTCATAGGTGTGTGGGTTCATATCAGGGTTTGTGCCACTATCAAGCTATTTTCAGGACTATACTTCTATAATAGAGCTTGAAGTCAGGGATGGTGATGCCTCCGGAAGTTTATTTTTTGTACAGGGTTATTTGGGCTATCCTGGGTCTTCTGTTTTTCCATATAAAGTTGAGAATTTCTCTTTCAAGATCTGTGAAGAACTGTGTTGGGATTTTGATGGGGATTGCATTGAATGTATAGATTGCTTTTTTGGCAAGATTGCCATTTTTACTACTTTGATTCTACCTATCCAAGAGCATGGGAGATCTTTCCATTTCTGGTATCTTCTTTAATTTCTTTAGAGACTCAAAGTTCTTGCTATACAGGTCTTTCACTTGTTTGGTCAGCATTACCCCAAGGTATTTTATGTTGTTTGTTGCAATTGTAAAGGGTGGTGGTTCTCTGATTTCTTTCTCAACCCATTCATCTTCTGTAGGGCTACTGATATTTTTTAGTTAGTCTTGTATCCTGTCACTTTGCTGTAGGAGTTCTCTGGTAGAGTTTTTTGGGTCACTTATATAAACTGTCATATCATCTGCAAATAGTGAAAGTCTGACTTCTTTTTTTCCAATTTGTATCCCCTTGATCTCTTTTTGTTGTCTTGTTGTTCTAGCTAGAACTTCAAGTACAATATTGAAGTGGTATGGAGAGAGTGGACAGCCTTGTCTTGTTCCTGATTTTAGAGGCATGGAGTTGAGTTTCTGTTTCCATTTAGTTTGTGTTTAGGTATGCTCCTGCTGTCCCTGATGTCTCCAAGATCTTTATCGTTTACGGGTGTTGGATTTTGTCAAAGGCTTTTTTTCAGCATCTAGTGAGATGATCATGTGATTTTTCGTCTTCAGTTTGTTTATATGGTGGATTACGTTGACAGATTTTCTTAGGTTGAACCATCCCTGCATCCCTGGGATCAAGCCTACTTGATCATGGTGGACAATTTTTCTAATGTGTTCTTGGATTCGATTTGCCAGTATTTTATTGAGTATTTTTTTTAAATCTCAATGATTTTCCTTCTCAGTGCACTGCATAAATTCTATGTGAGCATGCACCGTGTTTCATTATCCCTCCTTCTTTCTTTGTGTGTATTGTAGGAGAAACTGCAGCCAGCCTACCCAAGCCGCAATTGCCCTTCCCGTCAACCCAGGCCAGCCCTCATGAGCATGCGCATGTGCAGTGGGCACTTCCTCCCTGAGCCAAATCACCAAGCCCGTCTCAATGCCCAGAGACTGCTGACCGAGAGACTCCTGACCCAGAGACACCACCGAGGACAGGACAACACAGCAGAGTCAGCCGCCTGAACCAATGGGACCTTGGGAGAGGATATAAAGGCAGGCCTAGCTTCCTTAATAAATGAGTCTGCAGCTCGCTCTGCTACTCACTGACTCCCAGTGCCTGAGAAGTTGGTGCTGTGTCTTCTTACTCCTTCCCCCGAGGGGTGTCCGAGCAGGGTGAAAAAACAAACAAACAAGGGTGGATATGTAGGAGAAACTGCAGCCAGCCTACCCAAGCTGCAATCGTCCTGCCCCTGGTGCCCAGGCCATTCCACGTGACTATGAGCATGGGCATACATGCCAATCCTCATGCGCATGCATGGCAGGCCCGGGCACCTGGGCATGCGCAGTGTGTGTCCATGTATGTGTGCTTTCACGCGGAGGGTAGAGGTCCATGTTGTTAATCTATTGCTCTCCACCTTACACTTTGAGACAGGGTCGTTCGCTGATTGGCTAGCCTGGCCATGAGCTTTGGTCTAGCTCTGTAACGCTGGTATTGCAGCAGTAGGGTCACTGCACCTGGCTTTGAAAAAAAATCATTTTATTTATGTATGTGAGTATTTCGTATTTATGGATGTGAGTACCAATTGTACTTAGTGCCTGCACCTAGTCGTGGATAGTACAACTCATAACATGTAGCTAAGTATGCACAATATTTCATGCATGAAACTAACCTTTCTGGGAGAAATTAGCTATATGCTAAAGTACAGTTATGTCTTTTATTCTTAACTAGTTTTTACCAGGCTTAAGGCCATCTGCCTGTGAAGGACAAGGTTACTACTCAGACAGCGACACTGGGATCGTTAAACTGTTATGTCAGCCATTCTGCATGTAGCAGCCAGCCATACACCTGAACAAAGGTTACTAGAGGCTGGAACTGGTTGCACTGAACCACAAGGGGGAGGTGTCTGACTTCAGCTGAGACAGACGAAAATTAGTCTGGTGACCCCTGAGTGAATGAGAAATTAAAGGAACAGCACACCCACCTGGGTGCTTGCCCTGGTGAACATTTTTCTTTCTCCTTCACTAGAGTCGGAGGCACTAATTTAATGAAAATAATTTAACACACCAAGATGATTGAAGGACAGGTTTTGAAATGTAAACCGTGTCATCCGCTGCCTTCATCTTGACACCTGCCAATCCAAAGGACGCCCAAGGTGGACAGGATGGAGCATGCTAGAGGAAATATCCACTTAATGCCTTTTAAGCTGTGGTTTAATTCTTCTCCAGGAAAAATGCAAAGAGCATGTCTTGTGAGTCGAGAGTGCGGGATTATTAATCAGTGCTTACACTCGGCAGGCCATTGGGATCCTCTCGTGGGTGGAGGTCTCAGAATTGCAGCAGTGAAGAATGGTGGTGACGGGGAGGGCATGTGCCTCTTGTCTGGCTGAGTTTATCACAGCCTTCTGTTTACTCTTCATTACCTCAGAGCAAAGGCAAATTTGCTTTGAAGGGTGAGAGGCAGTTGTTCCATCGTCCCGTTTCCTTAATTGTGAATCCCATTAATCAGAAGTGGGGGACCAGGCCTGGCTACTTGCTGGCTGGGGACAGAGCGGCTTTGGGTGCACAGAGTTTAGTATGCTAATGACAACTGCCTCTCATCATATGCTAGTCAAGAGTGACTCCCTAATCTGTAAACCGTGTGACAACCTGAGCATATGGTGACAGCTGAGAAGACAGAATGCTGGGTCCCACGGACAGCGGCTGGGAGTTTGCGCTGGGGTTTCCCTGGAGCAGAGGGCAAGGACACAGGAGAGGGAGTCTGAGAGAGCTGAACAAGGCAGCCTCTCACATTCTGGTCACAGACAACAAGGTGCACATGGCCTGGCAGAGACTTCCATGAATGCAACAGCCACAGAAGTCCTGTGTCTTTTTTTTTTTTCCTTTTTTGCCTCATGTCACATACTCATGCCGGGTTTTGAAGGGAGGTCTACAATAAGCACTTAAAAGTTAAACTGGCCTTGTATTTCAGTCAATATGTCCTTGGGGGGGGGCTGTGGCTGAAGGCAATGAGAGTGTTCCTGGCCTGGACTGCAATATGACTTCCTTTTCCTAGCTGCCTACAGCTTTGGGGCTTGGGTATCATCACATAGTTTCCCTGGGGCCCTCTGTGGTTTGGGGGAAGATCCACTGTCTGACCAAGGCAGGAAGCAGATAGATACCAGGGCATGAGTCTTTTGGCACTCTGTGCTCACCCCGATACACTCGGCACCCCACCTCTGAGGCAAATACCTTGTAAGATAAAAACACAGCAGGTAACCGTTTGGACTAAGTGAAGGCTTGGAGAGCCTCAAATCCCATGGGTTCCTAGAGATGCAGGAGAGTGTTTAAGTGGGACAGACACTGTGGAGGCCCTGACAGTGTGCTGACGCTTTGTTTATGTTGGATGACCAGGGAGCTGGCTGCTGGTCTTTGAGTAATTGCTCCTGTCAACTTGTTAAACACTAAAAACAAATACACCAGAGAACAGCCATGGCCCTTTCAGGTAAGGCATCTCTGGAGGCAGGTGGGGGGGGCACATTCCCCTGGTGGTCTTGGGGTGGAGGGGCGCTAAGTACTGCCCTCCCATGGGTTACAAGAAACCCTTCCTAAGGCAGAGCAGGGACAGAGGGGTTGAAATTGTGACCCGTGAGCCTGGCTCAACCCTTAATTTGGTCTCCAAGCACTCATATTTCTGTCCACTGATGTTATAGCACAGAAAACAGGCTCCCCCCACCCGTGGTTGATGTGGTTCTCCGAGCCATAAAGTCTCCAAAGGTTAGAGGATGGAAAGCAGTTGAAGAGCTGTTGAGCAAGGCTTGGTTGAATAATTAACTTCTCAGAGCACAGGGAACTTGCCAGTGCTGTTTGGAACCTCACAGCCTAACTGAAAGTTGACTTTGCGTCTTCTTCTGATTTTCTCTGCTTCTTTTCTCCATTTTCCTCACTTCATGTCCTTATAAAATTTTCTTTTATCAATTCTTTTCTTTTTGCCTTTTGTCTTACCTTCCCAAGTTCAGGTCTCTTTGGAGCTGCCTTATAGTTCTGTGTCCTCTGGGCACAGTGGATGTGGGGGCATGGCTTCTTTTGTGTTCCTAGGAGACTAGAAGAAAAGTGCTTCAGAAAAATGCTTCCCTCATTTTAATTCAGGAAATACCTTCTTTAATTTGAGGATTCTTGGAGTGACTGGATATGTGTGTGAGTGTGTGTGTGTGTGTGTGTGTGTGTGTGTGTGCTCTCGCGCACGAGTGTTCTTTGACAATATTTCAACTCCCTGAAACTGAAGGCTGTTTGCTTGGATAATTGGCTTTCATATGAGATGAAGCCTCTTTGGGACTTAAACTTGTGGGGGAGTCACCACTGTGGCACTGTCTTTGGTGTCTTCACCCTTATAACATTGTGTAGGGCAGTTTCCACAGCTCACACAGAAAAGATACTCACAGGGACCCTTTACCCAGGGATTGGTTACACTTCAAATTGGAGTCCTGCATTTGGTCATGTGACTTACTCTCTTCAACAAATCCCCTCTGGCGAGAGGACGCCACTTCCCACCCAGGCTGGAGAAGTTGAAGCTGGTTGAGGGAGGGCAGGAGGCCAGGATACTAGCTGGGGTAAACCACTTCTGGAAGTTTGAAGAATACACAGTATCTAAAAGCTTCCCTCCACTTTGTTGAAGTTACTTTTAACCCAAATGTCACTTTTAAAAGCTTGTTTCAATTATCAATCTGTCATCAGGTCCAAACTGCTGGTCCCAGATGCCTTTTCAGACAAAACAAAGATGAACACATTTGCTTAGGGCTGAGGTGGGGCTCAAGGAAAAAAAAATCAAACCAATGGAGTAAAAGGTCTCTCAAGACTGCGTCCTGAAGGCAAAGTTCTGAAGGGAATCCCTAGACTCTGCTGAAACACAGTCTCCTTTAGAGACTCTCCGTGGCCTAGGCTATCGTGTCTGTGCTGCAGGAAGATGAGGAGTGGTGGTGGGGGGAGATATTGGAGGAAAATAAGGTTCTAATAGTAGAATTGAAGTGAATCTGATGAAAGCCTTGCCAGTCCTGCCTACTGTTGGCTCCTGGCATCCCAGCTCCTTCCCTCCCCGCTTCTGAAGAGAAATCTATGTTGCTTTTGACGTCCGCTTATTCTCTCAAGGTCCTTTCCTCCGACAAGATGGGAAGCCAATCTTCTCAGTTCCAGAAGTAAGTAGGCAGGGCACTGGGCAGTTAGAGGACTGAGCGTGTCTCGGTTACGATCCTGTTACTGTACTCAGAGCAGAGTGAAGGAGGAAGGACTCATGGTTCCATGGGGACACGGTTGATCATAGCAGCGAGGACATGGCAGTAGGCAGGAAGGCGTAGAGGCAGGAGCAAGAAGCTGGCTGGTCGCACTGTATCCACACTTAGGGAGTACAGAGTGAACAGGGGGTGAGGCAGACCTTTGAAGCTTGGAGGCCTACTCTCAGTGAGCCACTTCCTTTCATGAAGGTACCTACCTCAATGATCTTACCAAACAACCTCCCTAGCTGGGGACCGAGTGTTCACACACAGGAGCCTGTGAGAGACATGCCATGCTCATGCCACAACAAAGTGTGGCACCTGCCTGATTTGGACCAAAGGCTCAAATGAAGTGTTGTTTTTCTGGTTGTTTCTGATGGTGGATCTTCTTATCTTCAGAACACCTAGAAGCGACCATACCCATTCCTTCCTTAGCTATGTCAAGAAAAAGGGCTGCTGGGGCATGGCGGAGGGTGGGCTGGCGGACACGACCAAAAGAACTGGGAACAAGTGACATGCCTTTTCTCCTGAGGTAATCGCTTCAGTTGGCTAAAGGACATTTGAACAGCATGGTTTAGTGAAGGACATGATCTTGATGAATCCAAGAGGAGCTCTGCATGTAGAAAGAATAGAGAGAGAGAGAGAGAGAGAATGCTCTTACTGGGAAGGGATGCAGCATGGACAGAGTGATACCTACTGACCTTTAATCCAGTGCCAGGAGGGGATGAAAATGT